AATAAAAGAGTTAATATATAAAAAAAAACGTAGGTTGAATTACATTAGCGAATTACGTTAGAAAAATAATTATAATTAAACATTTTTTTTTATTTAAAAATCACTCAATATTTGCGATTTTCCTGATTACTTTATAGAGTGCCATTCAGAACCCCATCGCGTGTCAAGCCTGGCACGCGTGCCGTAGGTTGCCGATGCCTAGTATATAGTACGTATATGGTACGTATAATATTGAAAATAAGAACAAATCATGCGAAATACAAAATATATATTTTCAAAGATATTACATATGTTTAAAGAACAATTAAAATTATGTTTATACCAACAATTATAATTACATTATTATTTCCTTACAGTTATGGAATGTTTGAAAATATAATAATTATTATACATAATTATAAGTATTATAGTTCCATAATTATTAAGGTGACCATATATTTTTTACATGAAATATTTTACATACAATATTTTTTTGCCTGAAATCCGGGACGAATTAGAATGTGTGTGAGAGCGGGGGGGAGGGGTGTGTGTTGGTGAGCTAAAAACTCTGTATGCACATTTTTTCGGTTCAAATTTTCTAGTTGAAATATATTTAAAAATATATTGGCAATCAAAACATTTTCAAAAATCCGGGACCATCCGGGACAAAACACCTAAAACCGAGACGAATATTGCTTTTAGGAAGAGCCGGCATGCAAGACGAAAAATCGGGACTGTCCCGGCCAATCCGGGACGTATGGTCACCTTATAATTATGCATAAATAATATCTCAAAAACGAAAGATCTAAGTGGAGAAAACAACAGAAGTATTTAACTAAACTAAGCAGAAATAACTAACTAATATTAATTACTTAATGACTAACATCAATATATTAAAATCTTAAAAACTAAGAAGATACTAAAAGCACAGGAACACGCGATTAAATGATAAATTTAAAAAGAATGACAAATTTAGAAGGATGAAATAATACAAAAATTTAAAACGTTAAAAAGAACAGATAATTTGTTAAAAAGTGCAAATACTTCACAAACAAAAAAGTCCTAAAAACATAAAATATATGTAAAGAAAAATGCCTAATTTACTTTAGTTTAAATTTCGCGCGCTATGACCGTCATAGATACAGCCTTGCGCGCTAGCTCCTATTAGTCCGTTGCACAGGACGCCAGTATTCCATGTAACAGGATTTCTGTCGTAAAGTGAGCAAGAATTTTGCGCCAGATTTTCACTTATTTTATGATTATATTTATTAGTAATAGTAAACAGATTATTATAAATATATACTGTAAATTTCACAATTCATATTTTATAGGTCTAAAATACACCAATGCTCATAAGTGTACAAACAGAGAATTGTAAGAATTGTAAACAAAAATATATATGTATCGCATCTGATTAGGATTAAGTGAAATAATAATAATTAAACGATAATAAAATGCTTCAGTTTAATACAACAATTATTGATTTTGAAAATAAGTATCTTTATCGAATAATTAATACTGATATAAAAATATTAATAAGGTTCGCAATTTTTTTTTTAATTTTGAGTATTTTTGCAAATTTCGACATTTTTGAAATAAAACGATTTGAATTTTTTGGAAATTTTGAATTTTTTTGATATTTCAGATAAAATCACGAAAATTTGAAAAAAAAATACATATTTAATTTTTTTCGGAAATTTGAATATTTTAAGATTACTGAACTGCGTTTCCTAAACTAATCATTTATTCACGCCACTATATATACACAATAGCTGTTCACAAAATAAAAACTGAAGGCTTCCAAAATCAAAGTACGCATTGATATTTACGTGACAAAATACAGCTTTCCTATTGGACACTGAAGGTATCGGCCACAAAATAGTTCATCTATCGCCGAATAGGACATTCTCTATTCGAAAAATGGAATTTTCCAATGACAGAAATTATGATGAGGATACCGCCGTTGTGAATAGAGATTTACAAATAAGTGCTAAGATGTATCAGTGAGCCATTTTCGTTTAAGTCTTCTCATTGGCGGTGCCTTGAGCAAAGATGTAACAATGAAGTGGGTGTCTTTTCTCTTATTAATTACATCTTGAACAAATGGAACTTGGAGATCGTTATGAATTATATAATTTGAGACATACCAAGGAGCGTCTGTTATTGTCCTAAGTGTTTTTGACTGGATTCTTTGAATCATTGCAATGTTAGATTTCGAAGCGCTGCTCCATATTCGGCTCCATATGTCCAGATCGGTTTGAGTATTGTTTTATAAATAAGTATTTTATTTTCCATAGACAATTTTGACTTTCTTCCAATAAGCCAGTTAAGATTTTGGGATTTCAATCTAATTTGTTGAATTTTATATTTTATATGTGTTCTCCAAGTCAATCGCCTATCTAGATGAATTCCAAGATACTTCACGGATTCAGACTGTGGTAGCTGTTCATTGTTGAAATATACTGATTTTCTCACAGTAAAGCATATGTGCTGGGATTTAAATTTATTTTAATTTTTCATGCATTTGTTCAGTCTCCAATAATATTGAGGTGGGATTGCAATTTATGTGAAGCTCTAATTGTTGGTCGTCGGCGAAAGTTGCTATTGTTGAGTTAAGTCCAGTCGGAAAATCGTGGGTATACAATACATAAAGAAAAGGATCTAGCACGCTGCCTTGAGGAACACCAGCTTTCATAATATTAGGTGGGGTTAATGCCATATCTACTCTGATTTTAAATTGTCTATTGCTCAAATAAGATTCAAAGAATTTAGCATATGCTGGCAATATGTTTTGTATCTTATAAATAAGTCCTTCGTGCCACACTTTGTCAAAAGCTTGACTTACGTCAAGGAATGCTGCAGAGCAATATTCTTTAGATTCGTATGCTTTGTTGATAGTGTCGACTAATCTATGGCACTGCTGGCATTGTTGAGTGTCCTTTGCGGAACCCAAATTGATGTTCAGGAATGATATTATTAACTGCAATAATGTCTTCCAATATCAATCTCTCAAGTACTTTAGATAAATTTGGTAAGAGACTAATAGGTCTGTAAGAACTTACTAGTTTTGAACCCTTACCCATTTTTGGAACCATTTTAATAACAGCTGTTTTGAAAGCTGATGGCTAATAACTGAGTCTAATGATAGAATTAAAAATATATGTTATAGAAATATACCTTTTTGGCAAGCTCTTTTAAAATTTTTGAAGAAATATGATCAAATTCAGGTGACTTTTTGTTTTTTAAGGCCTGAATAGATCTATAGACTCTTTTGACAGTGAATAATTTAGTAGTTTTGGGTGCTTATAGATTTATCTGCAGACAATTGCAAAGGAATAGTAGGATTATATATGTTAGGCGAAAAAACAGAGCACAAATAAGTTGAAAAAAGATCGGCCTTTTCATATTCACTTCTTGCCCATGAATTATTGCTCGAATTTATTCTGATTGGTAAGTTTGCAACAGTCGTTTTTTTTTTGCATGGCCTCCAGGCTGAATTGTCGGATCTGTTAAGATTTTTAACGTAGTTATTAAAATTACTTTAATTTTTCGTTTTAGAGTATTGCTTATTTTATTATAAGTTCATTTATCTGAAGGATAATGTGATTTTTGCCATGCCCTTTGAGCCACGCGTTTCTCAGAAATTAATATTCTTATTTCTAAAGTAGTTGAGGGTACTTTTATGGTTTTAATGTGATCAGGGGTAGATCATTTAGCTGAGTGTTGTAAAGCTTTCTCTATGTCAGTAGGAGATTTAAGTCTAGTGTTTAAGCTAATTTTACCATCTATAGTGTGCCGAAATAAGTTCCAGTTGGTACTATTGTTGTGTAGCACAGGAAATTTGGTTTTAGATATATAAGTAGAATTTATCAAAGCTTTTACTGGAGAGTGGTCTGAAAATAAGTCAAAGTTAAGCCCGACTTCAACGTATGTTTTACTAATTCCAGAAAAAAATAAAAAAGTCCAATAGATCTGGTATGCGTGCCGGATCGCTAGGCTAGTAAGTAGGTGAACCTGTAGAAACTACATTAAAATTATTCTGTTGGATGATATTGTTTAATACTCTGCTTTTAGGATTCACTAGTCGAGAGCCCCAATAAGGATGTTTGCTATTGAAGTCACCACCGATAAAAAATTTAGGTCCAAAAGTTTTAAAGAATGTTTGGAACTGTTCGTCTTGAATGCTATGTCTTAGTGGACAGTGAACTGCAGATATTGTTAGATCATAAACAAAATCACTTTTATTGAAGTAGCTTGAATGCAGATTTCACTAAAATTAGTCAACGGATAATGTGAGATGTTTGACTTAACAATAATTGCTGTGACACCGTGCGTATTACCGCTGGGATGAGGAGTTTGATACGTCGTGTAGTAAGGAATGACAAAATTAGAATAGTGAGTGAAATGAGTCTCGCTCACTAATAGTACATCGATTTTATTATGTGTTAAAAAATCTTTTAATTCGTCCTTATGTTGAGATAGCCCATTGGCATTCCATAATGCTACTCGAATAAAATTACCCATTATTTGATTTTGTTTACTAATACACAAAGCATGTTTATTATCATGCCATTCTGTTGCATAACTTGCTGAAACATAGTTTTAAATTTATTTAGTACAGTCGAGTTTCGGCAGCCGTGAGGAGCACATCGTCCGCAGGTAGAAATTGAATTATTTTTGTGAAGTGTAAGTTTCATAACAAATCATGGACACCGATAGTGAGCCGCCGGACCCCGGGGCAGTCCCTTATCAGATATTGATTTTGAAACAGATAGTGCGAGTGAATATGAAGAGGAAAAAAACACACATTATGTAGCACATAATTCGGTAAATATTAATAATGTAAATAATGAAGCAAGTGATAATTCTAATGAAAGTAGTGAGTTAAACAGTAGCATTGCAGTGGAAAGTGTAAATAAAAAGTTAAAAACAGACTCAATATCAGGCGTAAATTCAGTACAAACGAATGGAAACAGTATTATAACAAATGAAATCAGGACCCCAAAACTAATTGGTACAACATGTGGGTGAAGGAAAACGTCACGACTAAAGCAGATGAAATTATGAAGGAATTGAAATACTATCAGGATACAGACGAATGCGGAAAGTAAGAACAAAAATATTGGTAGATTACATCCGATGGCAGTGGGTAGAATTTTTCATAAAAATTTAATTAATATCAGTAAAGAAATAGAAGACATTAGTTCCATTGGCAAAAATAGAATAAAAATAATATTTAACAACTACAAAAGCGCAAATAAAGTTATAAGGGATGAAATGCTGGATGTTTTTAATATTAATGCATACATACCAAGGCACAAATTAGTAAGATTGGGGATTATATTTGACATTGACCCAAGCCTGGACGAAGAAGAAATTTTAAGCAGCATTAGAAGTGAAAGCGAAATTATAAGTATTAGATGCCTAAAGAGTAAGAACAATGAGTCAACAAAAACAAATTCGCAGAGAGTTAAAATATTATTTAAGGGAAATATGTTACCAGAAAGAGTCTTCATTCATTCAGTCAGCTGCCGAGTTTCACCATTTATTCAAAGACTTATACAATGTCATAATTGCTGGAGATTTGGCCATATAAAATCTCAATGCAAAAGCAAGGAAAGATGCAAAAAATGCACAGAAGAACACAAGATAGAAGCATGCAAAAGTGACATAGAATTATGTAGCTTATGTCACGATAATCATCGAGCAGATGATAAAAATTGCGAAGTATACTTGAAGAACAAAAGAATAAAAGAAATTATGGCTCTACAAAACACATCTTACATAGAAACGAAAAAGATCATCCAATACAATAGATATGCCAAAGCAGCCAGCACATTCAGTCATTATAAGTCCTACCAAAGCCACTTCCCAGAAATTCTTAGTAATATAAGAAATGATTCAGTCCATTCGAATATTAATAGATATGATATACTTTCTGATTTGAAAGAAAAGGAAGAGTTATACGATCGAATAATATAATGGAAATGAATAAGCCAAAAATAGTCTAAGCAGAAATAACAGCAAAAACATCTATAATAGAAACCTTGGGAATCGGTCGAGTGACATTAGAATAGACAGAAGAGAGATTGATACTCCACGTAACAGGATTCACATTAACAGAAACACAAATATTATGGAAGATTGGAGAAACCTTTTGAGAAGAGACCTCATGAACATTATTAAAAATCTGGAAGATAGAGATACGGATCAAATAAAGACAAGGACGAAACGATGACTTTCATTAAAAGAAAATTAGATTTTATTTTTGATAAATAAGTGAAGGAGAAACACAAAATAAACTTAATTCTAGTAATAATGACACCGAAACATATAGGATATCTGCGATATTCTAACGTTTTGCTAAACCTTACTTTTATAGTTCAATATAAAATCGATTATGGATAATATAAAAATTTTACAACTAAACTGTAGATCTTTACATAGTAACATAGGCAGCATAGAATCCTTTATGTTTGATAACAAAATATTGATAGCATGTCTCTCAGAGACATGGCTAAACAAAAATCTTTACTACAATTTTAATAACTACCATCTGATAAATGATGATAGATTTGATGGCTACGGAGGATCAGCTATATTGATAAACAACAGTATTTCGTTCAAACAAATTCAGATATAAAATAACAACGATAGCAAGTATATATTGTGCCCCTAACAATAATATTGATCACCAAGATTCACAACATATTATACAACAGATAAAGTTCCCATGCATTATAACTAGAGATTTTAATGCGCATCATACGGCTTGGAGTTGCCAAACATGCGATAACAGAGGAAATGTGTTATATAACTTAATAGAAGAAGCCAATCTTATTATGCTAAATGATGGAACACATACCACAATCGAAAAAACCTTTCCAAAATCATCGGCCATAGATTTAACCTTATGCACCCCAATAGCAATGAGAGCAGATTGGAAAGTTATTCACGAACCACTAGGATCGGATCACATCCCAATTATTATAACACTGGAGATGATGTTGAACACCATTTCTTACATAAATCCTTCGACTAAATGGAACACAAAAAATGTGGATTGGAAAACATGCTCATCCTTAATAGAATCAATGATGGATAACATAACAACGAATCAAAGAATAGAAAGCTTATATGACGATTTTATAAGAATAATAAATATTGCAAATGAATTCTGCATTAAAAAACAAAAAGCTATATACATCAGGAAATATTCGCCAGCAATATGGTGGAATAATTAATGTCAGGAAATATTTCTTGGAGAAGAAAAGTGTATAAAAATATATAAGAAATAATAACTTCCAAAATTTCCAAAATATAACAAAGTGAATGCCAGGTCAAAATTAATATTTAAAAGAGTTAGAAAGAAAGTTGGATAAAAGTTGTCAGCGAGTTAAACAAAGAGACCAATATTGGACAACTATGGAAGACAGTTAAATTGATTAATAATAAAAACTATAATTACCTAACAAAAGGACTATGTTTGAAGAAATATTTATAAAACAGTTATTAGATACGTTTGTTCTAATCGGAAGCGACACCCTCCAGTGTACGACAATAATTCTCTTACAGTGGATTATTCGTTCCTGCTTATTTCATTGGAAGAAACTGAACGAGCTATCAAAAAGAATTCAAATACTTCACCGGGAATCGACAATATTCATTACGTCATGATTCATAACCTTCCAAAAAATGCCAAAATAATATTAACTAAAATATTTGTGTTGATCACAAAATCCTAAATGATAAACTAAAAAATTTCAACATCCAAAATAGTGTCAAAAATGTTATTATGAAATTGGTGACAGATAGACATATATTCTTAAAAGCTAATGCTAAATTACATGGGCCGCGCATAACAAATAAGGAATAGCTCAGGATCAATCCTTCACGTTTATTATTAACATATATATGGCTGATCTAGACAAGGCATTTAGTGGATCTACAAAAATCTTGCAATATGCAGATGACGTATGCTTCTATGCATCGCATAAAACTATGAATGAATGCTCAAGACACATTAGTACTTCCTTGATCCAAATGCAACAATGGTTATTAGCTAACAAACTTAAGTATATCCAGTTCAAAAACATCAGCCATAGTATTCAGTAGACGTAAAAAAGTGATTGATGCAACCTCCTTATTAATTGGCAATCTAAGAATACCTTTGAATAGAGAAATTAAAATTCTAGGCCTTACATTGAACGATAAACTAACATACAAAGAACACATTAATAAAATAACACTAAAAATGGAACAAGAAATAAACATTCTCAGATCGATTGCAAAAACCAGTTGGGGGCGGATCCCACTATCTGTATATAATCTACAGAGCATTAATTAGATCTATATAGACGACGGAAGTTTTTTTATACGGGAATGGATCATTCGGCCCTAAGAATCTGCTGAATGAGATCGACCCCTACTAATATCTTAGGAGTAGAAGCGGCTGAACCTCCATTGAAGACCAGAAGAAATATGTTAGCGGATTACTTTTGCCTGAAAAAATTACACAATGACTGCAACAATATTCCAGAGAATTGAAAAAATTGCGTACTCTCATTGCGTCCAGAGATACTGGCGCGATAAGCAGAAACCTATTTTGATTAAGAGCCTTGAAAAATTCTCAGATAACCTAAATGATATAATAAAAAATTCAAAACATCTAAGTTTTATGTATCAACAAGAATTTTCGGGAGTTACTCAAAACGTCCATCTAAACATAGAGT